CAAACTCATTATTTAGAAATATCAAATATTTCATAGTGTCAAACATATACTTAATAGACTAGCCTTGAGTGTACTCAACAAGTTGAGACGATTTTGGACTTTGATTTTTCACTATAATGATGGAAGGCGATTATAAATGTGACTTAATATTTTATAGAAGGATTTTGCATTCAAATGTTTCATCGTAACAATTATATATATTTTATTATACATCTATCATGCAAATAAATAAATAAATAAATAAATAAATAAATATATATATATATATATATATATATACAACAAGCTGAGATGATTTGAGACTCTGGTTTTTCACTATAATAATAGAAGGTAATCATAAATGTGACATAATATTTTGTGGAGGGATTTTGCATTCAAAAGTCTCATCAAACCAATAATATATATATTTTATTATACATTTACCATGCAATTATATATATATATATATATAAAACATAATATAATAGTGTGAACGATTATGAATTTTCTCTATCTAGTCTTCTCGAGCAATAAGAAATACTAGTTGGTCAATTCCTAGGGGGTATAGCATTGAACAACATCAATGCACCATCTCCATAGTCTCCTCCTCTTTTTGTTTCTTTAATTAGTCCAGCTGCAACCTATATCCTATACTAGTTGGCACGCAAACCTAAATAAAATTGGACTCGCAGACCCATAGTAATAATAATAATATTAATAAACTCGCAGGTCCAAAATGATTAAGAGCGCGCGGGTCCATAATAATAACAATAATAACGGGCTTGCCAGCCCAAAACACGACAAGATGGTCGAATCTACTTAACATGTGATCAACAATATCAGGAACTACTCCAAGTTCATTGTTGGGAATCTACTTAACATGCACAGCGAAAAATTAAAACATATTTCGATTCTCACGAGGATTCATCTTTGTGTTTAGATAAAAAATTGTAATAAAAGTGATACATTTTCACGATCTGCAAACTTCTTTGCGTTATCTTTGTTCCAACAACTTGAATCTATCTCCCACAGACGTCCAATTGTCCAGCCTCTAACGGTGATCCACACAGAGAACAAGATTGTAGTATTAGAGTTTTTCTTGTACTAGCAAGAATAATGAAAAATCATTACAATTTTGAAAACCCTAATCATATTTATACAAGTCCAAATGAGCTTAGCCTGATCTGGTCCAACATTTAATTAACCCATTTAATTAAATTCGGTCCGTAAATTAATTAATCCAATTGATCAATTCAGACCTATAAATAAGCAATCCAATTAATTAATTTATCCAACACTTGTTAAATTAATTAATTGACAAATCACAATCTTCAAGTTCTTTTTTTTGTGTGCGACTCATCAGGTTCCCGATCACGATGCCTAACGACGTGAAATATTATTTTGTTTAAATCAAAATTGATAAATTAAAACACCATTTTAATTTATCACCAATCACACTCGCCATCCCAGATTAACATCTAGCAATATGTCAAGGCAATATATGTGGCGGGAAATGTCACGTGGTATGACAAAATCAAACTCGTTCGTTTACCGTGAAACTATAATCCATTCGTCAATATGATTCGATCAATCACGAGATATGAAAGTGTGTCAATTTCGATTATCGATCATATCTTTCACTCCACTATTAAGTCAATATAAGTTGAAAACTCCCTTTCGACTTATGAGTACACCTTGACCAAGGATTTCGTTATCGACTTAATTGAATGAAACGCAGATCATAATCTCTTACTATCTAAGAGTGACAGATCTTCTATTGGTCATTCACAACCTTCATATGATTCTTGACATACCCAAACGATGTCGTATTAGCGGCTCTTGACAGAGCAACATCCAACACCGTCAAAGCATGACCGTCCTCATATAAAGTACTATGACTACCTCAAGTCAAAAAGACCAATCTCACTACCGAACGTTAGAGATTAACCACTGATACTCAGATAGTTATCCATGTGGAATCTCTCAGCGGGTCTCCAATGTTTTGTTTTATAACAAAACATCTACGTGTTCATTTAAGTGTCACCACATTGTAACTTGGAAGATCAGCTACTTACTTCACAAGTAAAAAATGCCACACGTGATGGTCTATCCGTAATAACGATATTCGTATCTCGTTATTACTTACGATCACGGACGATTTAAGATTCAATCATATGTAATTTGTATCTCACAATCACAACTCATTGTGATTAACAAATTACGAAAATTTGAATCTACGGACTCTATTATTTAATTTAATTGTCTATTAATTAAATAATAGATATGTCATTAAATTGCATTAATTATATATCAAAAGTATTTATATCCAATGTTGATTGGACCTAGGGCATAACACTTACAAAATAATCGCTTAATGCTCTATTTTTGTGGTATTCGTATGGACATTTTCTTTGTAGACACTAGACAATTACTTCCATTCTTCATGCTTTCTCAGATTCTGATTGGACTTATAATGCTAATGATCGCACATCCATTAGTGCTAATATTGTGTTTCTTGATTATGACCTGATTTCTTCGTTGTCCAGAAAGCAATGAATTTTGGCTTGGTCTCCACTAAAGTTGAGTATATGGTTGTTACCTCGATTGCTTGTGGGGTCCTTTAGATTAAATCTCTTCTTCGAGAACCTATCATCTATTGTGACAATGTTAGCACCACATATCCTTGCTATTATTTAGTATTTCATTCTAAAACAAGGTATGTTTAGGTTGATGTTCACTTTCTTTGGGACAAGGTTCAATAGGGGACTTGTTGCTTCAGCTGATCAATTGGCAAATTCACTCACTAGTACATCTCACTTTCAACTATTACGGTCTAAGATAGAAGTCACCAGTGGGACCCCTATTTTGTGGGGACGTGTTAGATATAAAGTTCTACACAAATCAGATGACTCTTCATCACAGTCCTAACATACGTTAACTTATTGGTAAATTAATTTCAGGAGATTTATTTAACACAATCTTAAGTCCAGCATAACTGCTCTTACATTGCAATTATATAGTATTAATATTATTCATATGTAACATTATGAATGCCATAAATACACAGAAATTTCAGGTTTCTCGATTATTTCTAGCTCCACTTATAGTTCAAATCTCATTGCTAGATTAGCTATCCATTTATAAAAATTGTGAAAATTGCGTATGTTTTAGTTTGTACAATTTTATTTTCGTTTTTTATAAAACAAGCCATCATGAGGGGTTTAAAGAAAACTTAAATATACAAGTTTCTCTTCTCTTTAGCAGCATAAAGTCTTGCCTGTGTGTTGCTTCATAGGAGGTACACATAATACACCTCCCTTGTGGCTCTATACAATGATGAGAACTTGTAGGGTAAATAATACCACATCATATTTGGTTTTGATAGAAAAACCAGCTTACTGAAGTTATTGGCTCATAGGGAACAAAGTAACTCACAACTACATAAAGACTACAGAAGGTTGTCGAATACAAAAGAGTGCATTGTTTGAAGACTAAAAGGCAACCGTCTTCAGTAAAATCAGCTTTCCTCATTTCAAATCCAAACCTTCTGTTACGTGTTGTCATACTTGGCCCACTCAATCCGAACCACGTGGCACTCTAGCCGAAGTGGGCTGAATTGGCACTGAGTTCGAACCACGTGACACTCTAGCCGAAGTGGGCTAAATGGTCGATGCCCTTTATATCGAGGCCCATATATCGAGGCCTTTAATGTTGCCGAACTCCATATGCCGAGGCATGTGGATATTTCCAAAGTCCTGAAGGGGAAGTAATACGTGAGCGGTAGAAGCCCCCGAACCATGAAGGAACTTCTTCCTTAATCATCTCTCCTAAGAGATCTATATAAAGATCTTATTTGAATGATTGATGAAACGTTTGTCATGAGTGCATATGTCAAGTCTTATCACTAGCATGGGGGTTCTGCACGAGTAATAAATGCGCAGCAAGCTAGCAAGTCGAGGATGATGCCTAGGATTCGATGTTTGAGTTAAGGAGATAAGGCCACGTGCTACCTCATCTAAGGACTGCCATTTTACATGTAACACTATAAATACTTCCTCTGTATAACATCGAAAGGCTAATGCAAAAATCAATACGAGAAACTACACTTCACTCTCTCTTTAATATTGTCTTACAACAGAATACAAGTATATGCATATTTACATTCACATTCATGAACACCGATTGGTAATTATTGTACAATTGGATTACGAACTTCCCATCGGATTTTGAATGTACTCGTCCCGCGTCGTTGAGCTACTCCCACACCCCTAAAGAGGTTTGTTCCAGACTGTCCACGTGTCTTAGCGTGTAGGACCTTCGCTCATGTGTGCACCGGTTTTGACAACACTTTTTGGGGTCAACACCTTCCATGCAACCTTGGATCACATTAAATGCTCATCCACTTCTTTGTGATTTAAATATTCATCTATACGTTGATGATTCTCCACTGATCTCAATGCTTCAAGCTCCATTGCAACCTCCACCATACTTGGCCTCTCTTCTTGTTTTGATTTGAGGCAACTTTCAGTAAGTTTTGCAACTCATTTCACCTGCTCAATTTGGTCCTCTCTTATCAAATTCTTGTCGACAATTTGTACTAACCGATCATCTTGGATTGCATTAAGAAAGTATGATGAAAGAATTCAATCTTCTTCTGGTCTGTCATGAGAAAAGGCCTTCTTAGTGGTTAATAATTCGGCTAGAACAACTCCAAAGCTATAAACATCACTTTTCTTAGTAAGTTGGCCAAAATGAAGATATTCAGGATCCAAATATCCTTTTGTTCCTTGCACCAACGTATTTAGCACAGAATCATCAAGTGTGTCAAATCTGTCAACAGAAAAAATAATAATAAAAAATAATTTTTTTTTGAAAAACACCACACAATAAGAACCGCAACGAAAAAACAAAAGCAAATAGAAGAGAGGAAACTAATATACATGTTTGGACCAAATCGCCAATAAGAGAAGGGAAATGTCCCTTTTCTGTTTTTGACTTTTTCTCTTTTTTCTTTTTAGTATTTATGTAAAACAATTTAAATATCTATAGTCAAACCTGGAAGCTCCAAAATCAGATACTTTTGCTGTATAAGTTTGGTCGAGCAATATGTTAGCATTCTTTATATCTCCGTGTATAATTGGAACCATATGCAAATATGCAAGTGCTGAAACAGTTTCTGCTGCTACTTTTATCCTCATTTCCCACGAAAAGTTGGAAGCAAGAATTGGATCATGAATATGGCTGAAAAGGGTCCCGTTTGTAATGAATTCATAAACTTGTAAAGGGACTTCCGTTTCCAAATAGCAACCCAATATTTTCACCACATTCCGGTGGTTGATTTGGGAAACAATTTGAACTTCATTGATATACTTCTCAATTTTCCCTTGATAAATTATTCTTGACTTCTTAATTGCAACCACTCCATAATCAGGTAAGTTTTCCTTGTAAACTGTTCCATAACGCCCCCGACCAATTATGTTTCCTTCCTCATAGTTGTTTGTGTCTCTCTGTAGGTCTTCTGCCGGAAAAATTCTAACTGTTTCTATGTCTAGGTAGTCCCTAGAAAGTTTATGACGTACAAGAAATCCACCATTGAAATTTGAAGAGGTTGTACAATTAAATAAATGCTCCAGTTTTTCATGATTCAAATCTTCATCTGTCCGTGAATGATTCTCCACTGATCTCAATGCTTCAAGCTCCGTTGCAACCTCTTCCATACTAGGCCTCTCTTCTCGTTTTTCGCTGAGGCACCATACTGAAAGTTTTGCAACTCGTTTCAGCTGCTCAATTTTATCTCGTCCTAACAAATTCTGGTCAAGAATTTGTAATAAGAGGTCTTCTTGAATTGCAGAAAGAAAGTATGGAGCAAGATTTTTTTCTTCTTCTGGTCTGTCGAAAGAAACGACCTGCCTACCAGTTAATAATTCAGCTAGGACTACTCCTAAACTGTAAACATTGCTTTTCTCGGTCATTTGGCCAAACTGAAGATATTCAAGATCCAAATATCCAATTGTTCCTTGCACAAATGTAGTGCTCTCAGAATTATTGAGTCTGTTGAGAAAAACACCACACCATAATAAGCACTACATTAAAAAAAAAAGAAGAAGAAGAAGAGAATAAAAGAAGATACTAATATTCACAGTGGTCAAAATTGCCAATAAAGATGAGAAATATTGTTGTTTTCCTGTTTTCCACGTTTTTCCCTCTCTCTTATTATTTACTATATCAAAACAAATAAATTTACGTGAGAAGACAAGCTGAAGAAGAAGCTGAGAAGAGGAAGCAGCGCCTAGGCGCTGGAGTGGGCAGCGCCAGTTTCTGCCAAAGCAGAAACTGGGCGCCTAGGCGCCCCAAATGTGAAAATCGCCCCGTATGTATATTTAGACTTCCAATTTTTGCCTCTTCATTATGATATAACCCTTGAGCCCGATTTTAGAGAGAAAATTGAGAGAAAACTTGGAGAGAATTTTACAAGATTGAAGGTTGTTCATCTTGGGTATAAATTCAAAGTTATTTTTTTTCTTGGGGATTAACTTGAGACTTGTTCAAATAATCCAAATACATTGTTCTTCATATATTCCATTGAAATCATTTCTTCATCATTTTCTTGTTCTTGAAGTGGTTTGGATTTTTTTTCACATTGTCAAGCATTGTTTCATCTTGGGCAATCTTGAGGAGGTGTTTTCTCAATAATTTGGTATCAGAGCTTCTTCCTAAATCAAGGTGGTTAAGCTTCGATTTTGTGGTGAGTTGCTTGAACTTTGTTGTGCACAAGGTGTTTGTGAAAATTTCCAAGTGAACTTTGGTGATTTATTTTTGGTAAACGAGTGGATAAATCATGTCTACTAGAGGAATGGTGAAGATTGGGAAGTATGAGATAGAGAAATTCAATGGGAAGAATGATTTTTCATATTGGAGAATGCAAATGAAAAATTTGTTGATTTCTCAAAAGTTGCACAAGGCATTGGTGGGAAAGGAGAAGAAGCATGTTGATATGTCGGATGAGGATTGGGAAGAGCTAGATCTTGAGGCACGGGTGTCTATCATTCTTTGCCTTGAAAGAGATGTTGCTTTCTTGGTTGATAGTAAGGTAACGGCGGCGGAGGTGTGGACAAAGTTGGAGGC